CCGGGCCCTCGGTGCCAGCGGAGGCCTCCCCCTCCCAGGCCCGGCTCCTCACGCCCGCGGGCACAGCTGGGAAGAGACGGGTGCCCAGAGCGGCTCACGCTCAGGAGTGGGGGGCTGCTCCCCGCCTCGTGGTGCTGGGAGCCTGGCCTTTGACACGGGCGAGGAGGGACGTGACCCTGGTGCCACCTGTGCCCAGAACCCTGCCAGGCGTCCCCATCCACGTGCCTCATCGTGTGACCCGGTCGTGCAGGGCGACGCCCGCGGGGCTGGGAGGTGCCGAGTCCCCAGCGTGTGCCTTGGAGGACACGGGGTGGTAGGGGTCTCCCTGCCCGAGACGGAGCCCCCCTCCTGTCCTCAAGGACCCGCGGACGCCCAGTGCCGCGGTCACAGCTGGAGGAGCCGGCGGGTTCCCTCACGCTGTCACGCGGGCGGAAAACTTCCTTTTTCCAAACGGGAGTTTGAGCCCCTCCACAGGCCACTCTTGGCTCTGGGACTCCAGGAGCCCCGTTCTCTTTGTTTTTTTAAAAATACATTTTATTGATTTTTTACAGAGAGGAAGGGAGAGGGAGAGAGAGAAACATCGATGAGAGAGAAACACCCATCAGCTGCCTCCTGCACACCCCCCACTGGGGATGTGCCCGCGACCCAGGTACATGCCCTTGGCCGGAATCGAACCCGGGACCCTTCAGTCCACAAGCCAACGCTCTATCCACTGAGCCACACCGGTCAGGGCAGGAGCCCCTTCTTTACAGGGGTCTCCCTGAGACGGAACCTTGGCTCCCTCTGCACCCCAGAGGCGCAGGGAGCCCCACAGAAGAGCCCGGCCTGGCAGGTGGGGACAGTGGGGTCAGCCCCGCCCGGCCCTCCCTGAGCACCAGACCTCCTGAGCCAGCAGCTTCCCCGCTCACTCCGCCAGCCCCGCCCTGCGTTCCCCATCTTTCCCTCCTCCGAGGCCTCCTCCCGCCACGGTCAGCGACACAGCTCCTCTCCACCCCCCACTCCCTCTCTCTCCCTCCAAGGACTTTCCGGTGGGGTCCGAGGTCTGACC